TTTTAGAGGATGGGACCATGGGGTTTACTAAAGAGCCTTTATTGAGATTAGGAGGGAGGTATAATGTAGGTGTCGTAATGGCCTAGTCAAAGTCTGGGTCAAAGTCTTTTTGGGAATCTGCAGCAAGGTTATCCGTCCAATGTCAATGAGCCTGAGCTCACTGTCATCAAAACAATAAGCAAACAGGTAGAAAGAGATATCTTTAAAAAAAAAAAAAAAAAAAAGGTCCAGTTTTGATTGTAGCTAAACATGCTTCTTTATACAAATGCATTCAGCAGTTTTCAGCTTTTATTTGAAAAGGACTTTTAAAACATGTCTGATAGTGTCACCCCATTTCAAAAATTCCAGTAGATACACTGAAGTTTGTGGTTGCAACAAATGCAACAATAGTTTTATGTGATTTTTAGAGATTTGTCTCCTGGAGCTCCAAGGGTATGGTTTGTTTGTCTGTTATACAAACAAATTGATTTTTTTTTATGTTTGAGTGAAAAAAAAAAAAACGTTAAAATAAGAAGCCTAATTAAAAAAAATCGAAATGCATAAAAATGTATTCACTCTGTCAAACCTTGAGCAATTCATTGCATTGCTTTTCTGTAGAATAATTCCTCCCCAGGCGGTAAACTAAACATCCTGTGAACAAAAGGAGAGGTGAGGATGTGGGTGTTCGGGCAACTGTTTGTTTATGAGGGAGGAAAGTTTACTAAGAAAGACTTAAAGCCAGAGAGAAAAAAGATGTGATGTACGTCAGAGAAATGGAGAACAATGCAGGAGGCAGGAGACAGATTGAGGTCAAATGTTCAAGCAAGTTTAAAATGAACCAGCTTTCCTGTCAGTCTTTATGCTTGCATTGGGAACAGCAGGAGTACAAGAGAAAACAATGAACTGTCAGTTATGTGCAAATAAAACAAAATATAGGAAGATATCATCCTGTTGAATAGGACAGAATATTTAACTCAAGACACAGGAGTAAAACACAAAACAATGTCAGAATCAGAGTTCATTTATTCTTATTGTGAAAAAATGTGATCTGTAACAAAACGTACAGTAGTGACCTACGTTTTGCTGACCTTAGTGGTCCACAGCACCTGAAAATTAATTTAGAGCGTCGGCAGAACAATATGCTGTAAAGCAGCAGAATGTAGCACACTTTGCAAGATAGAGGCGCAAACAACACTGACAGCTGCTGCAGTGCCTTAAATCGTTCACTAGTGGGTGCCATGTCCCCACTAAAAGCTTCTGGAATCTGTATTTCAGATTTTAAAACTTGCTTTACTTTTTACTATAACTGATAAGTTAAATTTGGGCATTATAGATTATCTATATGTTATAGATTTTTTTCCATTTGATCAGTCAAACTTTAAAGATACATTGTGACACATTGACTTTGTGTTTATACCCCAGCATAACTATGAAAGAAAACTTCATCTCATTACAGCTGGCCTTATCAGTCGAAAGGAAGGATCGTCTTTGAGTCAATGAGTCGATGTAATTAACTGGTTTTCCTTAGATAGAAAACTTTGAATCAATTTGACTGTATGATCTGGTGAACTGTAAAATGCCTTGAGATTACATTTGTTGTGAATTGGTGCTATAGAAACAAACTGAACTGAATTTAATTAAATTGAAGGCTTGGATTTCAATAACAGAAGAGGATATGATTAGAAAAAAATAATATATATATTTTAATGTAAATCTGGAGGTCTAGTTTAGAACCTCTGAGTGTTTAACATGTTTATAAAGCAAAGTACCACTTCAGGATCCAGTAAGACCAGAAAGAAATGTAAAATTTTTTTATTTAAAATACACTGGATAAAATGAGAGTCCTCACATATAACCTTGACTATATTGTTGTTATATAATAATATATAATTTATTATAATATAATATAAATACCTTATTTAATAATGTTCTGTTTACACTACCCCAGTAAAAAATGCTCATTTTAAATGCAGCTTTTGCTCAGAAATCTATTTTTGTGACTTTGTATGCCTGAGTGCATGTTTCAGGAAATACATGTGCAGAGCATGTGTTTATTTCTGCTTCAAACTGTGCAAGGTTATAGGTGTATTTTTGGAGGTTATGTACTTCCAATATGTTGAGGACAAACATCCATTATCATTAGTAAAGCAGGTTGAGCTTTTTTTAAATCAAGGGTGTAGGATGAAGGAGATGATTGAATGAAAGAGAAAACAAATGTAAAAAATAAGTTAAGATGTCGAGAGGTGAGCTGATCCTTGGAGTTACATTGTGGGATTTAAAAATAGTCTCTTAAACATATATTTGAAGGACAAATCATCTGAGATGGCTGGAGAGAAAAAGGGAGGAGGGGGGCATCTACGTAAGCATCACCACTAGTCTCCCAGTTCACCTCTTTCCTGTCAGGTAGATCTATTTTTAGCCTCTGACGTCACTGGGCTCTTCTGTTGGAGCCTCGTCACGGCCCACTACTGGGATCCAAGGGGAGGAGGGGGTGCAGAGCGGGGTGCTGCTGCTGAGAGTGGGGGTGGGGTGTTTTCATAGAGGTAAATCCTGCTGCTGCAGCCCTGCCTCTCTCCATCTCAACTCACCAATCGGGTGTGAGCTGCTAAACACATCACTATGGATGCAGCCTTAATGGTTTCTCCTCCTCACCATCCTCATCACTTCATCTCTCTGTGAATTGGACTAGTTCCATTCACAATGAGTTGCATAATAGCCCTGCTTCATTTATGTGAACTATTACTGGTAGAGCCCTGCAGGCAGGGCTAAAAATAGCCAGAGAGGCAACCTTGGTGCTTTGGTTTCTATTGATATGACCAAGGAAGGAGGGAGTGCAGCTGAGTGTGGCCTAAAATGGATCCCATTGACAAAAAAAAAAAAAAAAAAAAGCCCACAGAAATAAATACACAGAATATCTACTGTCCTGGGAGAATCAGATTTAGAAATAAATTGAAAATGAATATTATTTTTAAAGCAAACCAAAGCAGCGTGAATGTCTAGGGAAAAAAATACTGTTTTATCTAGGTTAATATTCTAAAGATTTTTCCATTCCTGATCAAGCAAATGTAAAAAGGGATTTTTATTGAGGCCAAATGTTTAGACATGTGATGGTGTTCTGCTCACAGCAGCAAACGCAATCAAAGCCTAGTTTTAAACTCTTGACGCTCTGCCCCATAAAAGTTGTTTCTGCTGCCATTGGGCAGAACTGGAGAGTAGCTGCTGTCATTGGGGCAGGGGTTTATAGGTCGTAGCTGTGCTGATGTAACATGTTGGCGTTGACGTCATGTGGAGACCGCACACAGAAAGATGTGCGTATGAGTATATTTGACTGCGAACAGCTATTGCTGACAAGGTGACCCGTTCTGCAATTGAAGGATATCTAAAGACTTTTTGTGGCGTTTGTTAGGGGGCGTTCAGTACGATTGTGTCATTTTTTAGAAGTTTACTTTTCTATTTTGTTTTGCACTTTCACCCTCTTTTATTTCTTGTTCTGCTGTCAGAGCATTTGGGTCAGTCTGTTCCATCCGACCCTGATTCCTGTTAGGAAGCAATGTTATTTCTGGGCCTTAAAGACTCCCCATCAATCAAAATTGAGTCATTTTAACTTTTTTTGTTTTATGATTTTAAATTCTGTTCAATTCGTCACAACTGTTTTTTTATTATTATTATTATTATTATTATTATTATAATTATCATTAATGCTGTTCACACCAACCCTCAATCATTTTAAAAGTATCCATCTCTGACTTTAATTTTGACCATCCTATAATGTTACCGCTAACATCAGAGATTAAAGGATCAAGTCGTACAATATTGGCTAAAAACATATTTCTTTCAAAATTGTTGATATTTTTAGCTAAAATATTTTTAAAACATAATATCCTGAAAAAATACTGAAGTCACTGTACTCACACAAAATACACAATATGATCCAACCGCTTTATTTAAAACAGAAACTACTTAAATAATCTTTGGTCTCCTACATGGTACGACCAATTCGGCTATAACATTGCTTCATCTGGTTATGTTCATTTTGATTCTGATAAGCTGAGATATAAAATGAACAAAATAAACCCTGGATATGCTTTATAGTAGTTTTCAAGTGGGTAGAATTTAATTATTGTTTAATTTTTCTCATTTTGGTTTTTATAGAGAACCGCATGTATAAGGTACTGATATTAGCTGAATAGTCGGGCAGTGGCCAAGAAAAAGCTCTTGACAATTTCAGGAAATATGCCGCTTAAAACGATCTTACAATTATCAAGGCTGCACTTTAAAAAATAAAAAAGTCTAGAGAGCTGTACTAAACAAAACTTCCCCTGCCTGAAGGTTCAATCGCACGCTTGGATACTTTTGAACATTATAGGGTTCTTACATGGCCTGCTTTAACAGTCTTGAAAAGTTTTTATTTCACTCTTTTTTTATGGAATAAAGTATAAAGAAAGGGGAAAAATACCCAAAAAATGTTATTAATTTCCTAACTTGTATCCTGCCAGGCAAAGAAAAGGTAATACTAAAATTGACTACAATACTAAAATGAATTTATATGCAGTGTTTATATTTTCATTTCCCATTTTTGCACTTTGCTTCAATTTTGAACATGTCAGTATTAATTTTTCTGGCTTCTGACCACGTGGTGTGATTTAAGTGCCAAACAAACCTGTTGTTAAAAATAGTAAAAGGACTAAATACTGCACTACTTAAGCAGCTCAAATATTTATTTGTTTGTTTCTTAAATGTCTGATAATTTTAAAAACTGGAGAGAGAAATCTAGAAATTTAAGTTTGAAAAAAAAGGTAGGACCCTGACATGAATGATTTGGAAGTTAACATTTCTGCACACTTAACTCTCCACCACTTTTTGTTTTTCTTTTTATTTATACTCCACACCTGCCACATGTTTTGTCAGGGAAACATAACTTCACATTATTTGGTAGAAATGATAAGAACTGGCATACAAATATTTAAAAGTTTCGGTTGGTTGTGTTTTAGTGTGTTGAATGTTTTTTTTTCTCGTTGCAGTTTTGATGTGGAGAATGGCCTGTCGGTGGGTCGCAGTCCACTGGACTCTCAGACTAGCCCAGGCTCTGGTCTGGTCCTTCAGGGCAACTTCCCTCACAGTCAGCGCCGTGAGTCTTTCCTCTACCGCTCCGACTCAGACTTTGATCTGTCGCCCAAAGCCATGTCTCGCAACTCCTCCACTGCCAGCGACCTGTGAGTAAATAGACATGCTGTGTTCTTGTAGTTGTACCTCACATTGACCAGGAACCCTGAAGGATCTGCTTTGTCTCCAACTGAACGATTGAAGAGCTTGATTTGCATTAGAGCTGTATTGTAGAGTGGTAAAGGGTGGAGATAGCTTTTCACCATGACTTAAAAGATGTACGCCTGCCAAGATGGAGACTCTTAACATTGAATCATTGGGAAAAATTAACATTTGAACTACATGCTAAGGTAAAGAATAGAATCAATATTAAATTGTGTGACTGTAAAAAGAGACTAAATGTTTTCTTACCTTTAAAAATACATTATTTTGTCTACATAAGATTAAAATAGTGATACATGTTATATTTGTTTACATTGATTTAATATTTTGCATTAAAACCAAAAGAGAAAATCTAAAGTTGTGCAAAAAAGAGTAAGAAAAAACAAAAACAAAATGCAATCCAATTTTTTGTTTGTTTGTTTGAATTCTGATCCTCAGTAACAGCTTATACTTTTCTAAACCAGTGAATGTTTCAATTGGATGGTTTCCACACTGTTGTATTTTAAGTAGATCATTTTAAGAAGAGATGTACTGCAAAAAGCATCTTGCTGTGAGAGCTCTCTCTGGATGAGCTGCAAATAGTCAGTATCTGAATTTTAACATACAACTTCTGAAAATGTGCCAACCTCCTCATCAATAGCACCATCAGAATGGCAATCTCTGAACTTTTTATTCTGTTAAGACAATAACACTTTAGGCCCTTTTTAGAATTTATTAAAGACTTATGCTTCATTTAAACCAAACACAATTTTAGCGGCAGAAGCAGCTGGTTTACATGCAAGGTCTATGCTTGAAGTGCAACAAGGAGCTTCAAAAGTTATTGCAGCTCAAGCAGCTCATCTTGAAGCATCTGAGCAGCTGCACTAGCGTCTCATGAGCATTTAAGCATTTGAGATGCTTGATGCTTTACCAGTAGTAGATGCTGGACTTGGAAAATGTGAACTTTTGCTGCTCGATGTGCCACATCAATCAATCAGAGAAGCTGATCTGGAAGCTGGCAGGGGCCCTCAGCACTGCTTATGCAGAACTCTAAGTTCTGGTGCCTGCAGTTTATACCACATACCTGAAAAAAGCTGATATCTACTTCCAGCCAACACCAACACTTGGGGAAAAGCCCCAAGAGGCGCAGGCTTGATGCAGCTACTGCCGGAGACTCCTAGTGATGGCTTACCACTGGTATATGGAGGTCTGTACGGCTCCAACAGCAAAATAATATTTTAATGCAGGGTGATGTGCTTTAAAACATATTAAAACTCATTTTTAACCACTTATCACAGAAAATATAGCAAAGCCACTCTGCCATTGAACAAAAGATCAATACATGGATCAGATGCATCTGTATAAACTGTACTTGACATGCATTGCACCTTAATGTGGACAAGCATCAAAGAATAAGAATATAATAGCAGACATTTCTTTGCTGCTCAAATCATGTTTGGTGTGAACGTAGCATAAAGTGAGGATGTTCTTATAATTCCTTTATTTTTTGCTGGATAACCTACTGCATATATATAAAACCAGGCCAGGTTTGACCTTTAAGAAAAAGACAAATCAGCTGGTCAGATATTATTTGGCAACAAAATATGGTGTTTTCCAGGAAAAGCCTGATTGGTGCATCTTTAGATTGTACTCTCATTGTTTTAGATGCTATTTTGCATCTGGCTTTGAAGCCTTTTAGGAGCAAAGCTTAAGATTCAACTTTCAGCCGATTAACGGCCTGTTTCGCCTTTCGTTTGTTTTGATTTCTATACCTAAAGAATTATCTGTGCAGCTAGAAGTCTGTTTAGAGACAGTCACTGTGTACATAGGGCCTCGACCACCAATAGCTCTCGCTCCTTTGTTTTAAAGGGAGGAAGGATTGAAGCATTGGGAAGTTAATTGGCTACCTCGGTGAGACAACGTGTGAAGAGTCCTGTGTTTTGTTTTCCTGTCTTTCCCCTTTGGGCTCCCTTATGTCTCCCGATCCTTGTGCTTCCAAGTCACCTTGTCTTGAACATGAAGTCTAAGCAAGCATTTGACAGGAATGAAATCACCCATACTTCATTTTTCATTGGGAGAATGAATCTGGGACTGATTTCACACAGCGTCAAAATGTGATGCACAGACTTAATTTTCCCTGCAGCATGATGTTTAAGTTTTTTGAAGGGAAAGTTTTTTTTTTTTTTTTAAAGGGGCTTTCTGTTATGAGGTTATGATGACTAGTTATTATCTCACTTAATGAACACGCAGAGAATTGCAAAAACCATGTTGTTACGTATCAACCACACACAAAGTAGTGCACAACTGTAAAGTTGTAAGAAATGATGTTCTTTTCATAAGCAAACATTAGAAATGTTCAATAAATTTAGTATACACTCTTTTTAATCTGGTACCTTTAACTAAAATTCAAATCCAAAAGAAGTCACCTAATTAGTAAACATATCATACCTGTTATTTTATTGATTTATTTGATTACATCAGTGAACAAAATACTCCATATGTCAAAGACGCATCAGAGATGGATCTAATAAGAAGTTAATAGCAGACTTAGCTTATAAAATGATATTTGAGGTATTCAACATCGCATGAAGCAACATTAAATCCAATATATGGAAATTAAGAAAGTTGAAAAATAAGCAGAACATTCATTTCAATCACAGCAGCAATACTCTTTGAGTGTGTCGACCAGCTTTGCACATCTTAAAACTGGTATTGTGTCCATTTATCTTTGGATATAGAGCATCAGTTTTCCTCCAATACTGGCTTGTGTTTAGCATCATCCATACTCCCATCAGTGCTAAACACCATTCCTGCTATAGAATAGCATCCCCACAGCATAAGATGCTGTACTTATGGGTATTGGCTCCTTGATATACTGTATAGCACTTACTTGTAGTGTTTAGTTTTGGTCTTCACTGACCAGAGCACCTTCTTAGTCACTGTCCTCTACATTTTGTCAAAACAAGGAAATTAACTTTTCATAGCTTTCTTTAAAAATGACTTTATCGTTGCCCCACAGCTTTATAGAGAGCATGGCTGCTCATTGTTTTCTTAAAAGTTTCTTCCCTCTGAGCTGTTGATCTCTGCAGCTCCTTCCAAGTTTCTATGGACCGTTTCGGCTGCCTCTGATTAATGCTGTGTTTGTCCAGCATGTTATACAGGGTGGCGTCCATGCTCTGGTAGGGTTAGGTACTCTTTCAGTTTAAGATAATGGACTCAACATTGTTTTGTTAAATGCTCAAAACGTAGTTGTCGTTAACTTGTCTAGTTGAGCTTTAAACATCTATCAACTTCATCACTGACTGTGCTCTTTGTCTTAGGGATATTTGTTCACTGATGTGCTTTACGACACCTCTGAGTTTATTATACTGGGATTACTTAAGATATTAAGTAATTAAGTATTAAGATTTTTATATGCCTTTTTTTAACATGAGGTACTTGTTAATGACAGAATTTCAATTTTACATATTTGGTAGCTGAAAGTCAAATGTTTTTAATAAAAGCAAAGAGGTTTAGGAAGTTCTAATCTGCAGGTAAGGTCTTTTTAGCCATAACATCATAACAGGATCCTTCTTCAAAAAAAATTGTGAACTATCCCTCTAAGGTGCATGCTGTAGACTCCTCTCCAAACAGCACTCAGAGCATGAACACTGCTCCTCGCCTGCTTTTTGCTGTTAATGCACAAACCTGTAAGCCTTTTCTGAAGAAGAAACATGGGTTTGTGGCTGGATTACCAACTGGAACATTTTAAGCCAATCAGTCCAGATAATTTTAGTATTTTCCTTCTTTTTAATCTTCATCAGCTTTAGAGATGTTTTGCATTTGTGTAAATAGAACAACCCACTCTCCATTCCCTTCACCTAGACTTGAGCACAGACCCAATATGTATGGTTTCAACAAAATGCAGCTGCCCTCCAATATCCTTGTGTTTTGTGTTTATTTGTCTGCAAGTTTTGAATCATATGCCTCTCCCTTTCCATGGATTTATTCAAATGTTTGTATGTGTACGTTTCAGGCATGGAGAAGACATGATTGTGACTCCATTTGCACAGGTTAGTCCCATCAATGCATTTTCCTGAAAGTTGATGTTTCTCATATTTGAATTAACCAAAAAGTGTATCCCAGCAAAGGTTTAATAACCCTAGAAAAAATGATAGATTTTTTTATTCAATCTCTAGTGTAGTTGGACCCCATAAGCATAATTAAATGAATTAGTTTAGACTAAAGAACAGAAAAAAAACACATTTATAAGTGTTTTCTGTTAATTGTCTTTATATTCCATTGGGTGGTAATATACTACAATTCTGCATGTTGTAAATGAAATGGTTGAAAAAATGTCAAAGATTTGACTCATATATCAAATACTAAACTTCTTCTGCCTTTCTGTGGTCTGGGATTATCTAATAATTGTATGCTCAGCGAGATGTTTTCTCTAAATTGATTTTATAAAATTGTTGCAGTAATCCTGCCTGTAAAATCTATGTACCTCCATGAAGGAGGTTACTCATCAGTCTGAGAATTAAAAGATGGTTCATTTTTCACAGAAAACACCCACACACATTCTCTTTGTACTGCACAGCTTGTTCTGACTATTTATCCCCTCAGCTCTCTCTGCACGAGGGATTTCTCTATTCATTACTCTGGGTTTCACCTGGAGGAAACTCAATATGTATTTTTTTTAACCATAATCATCAGCACACTTATTTATTTACAGTCTTAAGTTGCGAATTGACAGTGAGCTGCTCTAAGTCCAAAAGGCTACACTGATTTATGCTGTGCTTTGTTTTTTAAGGTGTGATTTCTTTTTCAACATTTGAATGATTCAGATCATTTGTCTATAATGATACTTATTTAAATGTCATTTATGATTGAAAAAGCTTCCTACGTCTAAAGATGAGAGGTTTCCCCAGCAGTGTAATGAAGACTTGTCCCTCCACCACCTGTTTTTTTTTTTCTCTGCCACTAAGCTGGATAGAAAAAGATGTTGCTACATTTCAACCTCCCTTAAAAAAAAGAAACATACAAGAGTTAAATACAAAAACTAACATCTTAAAACAGTCAAGGCAGCATCCTACTGTGAGAATATAGCCCATCAATAATAATAAGGTAACACCATTTTGAAGCTACATTTCACAAACTATTAGGAGAATAGCTGATAAACAGGTTGTTGGAATCATTAGGATAATTGACTTGCTAATATCTTCCTTTTACACTTGTGTTCTGGTTTATAATACCATTAACTAATGTGTTATGCCATTTCATCAGCAGCAGGTATACATTTTGCAGATATTTATTTCTCTTTTATTTTTTTAAATGTGTGTTAGTTTTAAGCTGGGAATATTTCATGCTGGGCGACGGCACTGACACTGAAGTAAAATCTAAAAGACACTTTAGAAAAACAAGGAGCTTTAGTCAATCAAATTATTTTAGATAAGTTTTGGGTCATAGTGCCACAATGTGTTTTTATTTAGGAAGTTAATGGAGTAATCAACCAGACTCTTGCAATACTTGTATGTAATTATAAAATTTGCAGAATTTACTTATAATTGTTGTAAAAAAAAAAAAAAAATGCATTTGTCAAAAAACAGTTAAAGGATACCTAAATGTGCTGATGTCCTCTGGAGTATGGAGAGTATGCTAGGAATTCCTAAAGTGTAACTCACCCCAAAATATCGGACACTGCGTTCCCCTGCCAGGTTGTACCGGAACTTTGGGATTAATAAATTATTTTTGAATTGAACTGAAATCACTTTTGAGTTTAAGCTGTATAAACTGAGCCTATGGGGTGCTATTTTAATATTACTGTGCATTTTTATACATTATTGTTGCTGTCACCGCGATTCCCTAGCACTTACAAAGAGTGTGCAAAAAGGAAAAGGAAAACTGATTTTTTACATTTTTTATAACCCTGATGGTACACCTTTAATGATGTTTAATAAACATAGTTTTAGACAATGTCTGCTGAGAAAAATAATGGTTAATAAAAATAGAAAATTGCAAAGATTACAAAGTTAGAGTTGAGTTTGTACTAATAACTATTTCTGCAAGCATTTGTTTTGCGTTTGGTCCGGCTTTTGAACTGATCTTTGTTTCAACAAAGTTTAAAGTTGCTTATTCAGAGGTCTTAACCATCTTAACAGAACCTCTCTACAGAAATCTGTGTTACTCCTCTAAAGAGTCTCTCAGGTTTATTCATACATCTTTTATTTTCTGTAGGTTTTAGCCAGTCTGCGAACAGTAAGAAGTAATGTTGCTGCTTTAACGCATCTCCAAGACCGTGTGGTAAACAAGTAAGTGTAGAATTATGGTCTAAATGACAAACAAATTGATGTTATTTATTTAATTATTTATTTTGACCTTATTTACTTTGTTCTAGGCGACCATCGAGCACCAGTCAGCCTCCTTTGTGCAAGCCGTGTCTTTCAGGTCAGTTTGTCAGCGGACTACGTTGGTGCAAACAAGTAATTCATCCATCACCTCATGTTGCAGGTTTTCCTAGTCGCCCAGCATGTAGTTAAATCACATTTTCTGACTTTTAAGTGCTTCTTTTGCATTTTATAGTATGACAAAAGTATTTAATTACCCACCAACAGTTAGAATTCTGGATACCAGGTCTGTTTACCTGTTTGAACTTATTATCTTTATTTAAGAGACCTTTTCACACACTTAAACTAACTCTAACCTCTCCACAATGGCCGAGACCAGGGAGACCTGCGCAAGACTGGAATGGGCTAGAGGAAATTAGGGAAGCAGTTTGGTGTAAATGGAAATAATTGAAAATGACAGCACATTTCCTGGCCCGTCCTAAGGTTTGCCAGAGACCATCTGGATGATGCAGTGGAGGAATGGGCTACGGTCATATGGTCTGATGAGACACACATAGTTTAGGTCTAACTCCACTTGCCTTGTTAGGAGGAAGAAGGAAGGGGACTAAACAAAGACAGCTATACAAAAAGTGAGTCATAAAGGTGGAAACATTGTTCTTTGAGGACAGAACGACCTTAAACCTCATCAAGAACTACAGGAAAAGTCTGTTATCTGTAATTGAAAACAAAGGTTTCTGTACCTAGTGTTGTTTTGTTTTTCTGATGAATCAAATATTGATGCTATGTAATAAAATGCTGTTTAATTACTAAGAATCAGACAAAATAATTATCTGGTTTTAGATTCCATGACTCACAGTTGACGAGTAACTGTGATACAAATTTAAGACTCCGATGTGCTTCTCCAAACCATGACTTGTTTTATTTTTTAAGTCAAACTTTAAAGTTTTTAAGTAGGGATGCACAATATAATCGGCCCCCTATCGGTATCGGCCTTAAAACTGAATATCGGATATCGGCCACCCCACCGATATTTAACCCGATATTTGATCAGCTTCTGAGTTTCTAAAGTCTAAAAAAATAAAAATAAAAAATACTACTACTTCTTCCTCAAAAACTTCTTTTTTACAGACTTAAAAACTTCTAAAGACGAGGGAAAAAATATTGATACATTAAAATATCACAATATCTTCATATGCTGATATATTGCCATTTAAAAACACCAAATCAATCTCTTTTACTAATGAAATATTGCTATATTTCATCGTTATGCTACGAAATACCCCTAAAATTCACAAAATTTTGCCATATTTTTATATGTTGATATATTGACGCGGTATCGATCTATTTTACTAACAAAATCTCACAAGAATTTGCAAAATATCACGAGAATTTGTAACCGAACGATGAAATTTCACGAGATTTTGAAAGTAAAATAGATCGATACCGCGTTTTTAAAAATCAATTTGATATCAGCATATGAAAATATATTTGAGTATATTATTTTTCAAAGTGTCAGAAATGGATAACAAAACTGCTATTTTCAATGACTACTTATTTTTGTCTAGCTTTAACATCGGTATCGATATCGGTTATCGGCTACATGAGTTTTAAAATATCGGCATATCGGATATCGGCCAAAATCCCAATATCGTGCATCCCTATTTTTAAGTCAAACCCTCTGTTTTCCCAACTTTTACCTGAAATGTTTATTTTTGACCTTTTTTAGAAGAACCTTATCAGAAGCTGGCGATGGAGACTCTGGAAGAGCTGGATTGGTGTCTGGATCAGCTAGAGACTCTTCAGACAAGACACTCAGTCAGTGAGATGGCATCCAATAAGGTAAACTAGCATGCCTCTCAGCTTCATGCAATAGAATGATGCTACAGCATTTTTCTATTTAACATATTTAAACACATTCTAGTTTTTATTGTAAAAAAGGATTTATCCTGCAAGTTAAAAAAGGAGTTATTAGACTTATTTTAATGAGTTTAGAAGGAAAAAAATATTTATATTGATTGAAGACATCAACAATAAATTTCAATATGGGAAAGAAAAGCAATCCATCAGTTTTAAAAGGCACACTGGGCTTTATAAGTACCACATGCCTCATCTGAAAGAGTTAATTAGCATCACTTCTTTCTGTTTCTCATCTCTGTGTGGCTCCCCAGCCATACCATCGGCCAATCAGCTGCCAGTTATTCACCCAGCCTCTAAAGCCAGACAAATACTATTGGTCAGAGTGAGCTGGAGGGTGGAGGGAGCATGCAGGACAGAGAGGAGAGTTCCTTACAGAATCTCCCTCCATCCCTCCTTCTCATTGACAGTGTGTAACAGTAGCTGGATTAGGGACTGCAGTCAACAGCCACCCTAACACTGCTGATGGTGCTCTTTCCATCCCATCCCTGTACCCCAACCTTATCTCCTGAACAGCGCTGGGACTGTGGGAACTTGGACCTCTATAAGAATTCCTTTTTATGTTAAGATAGTCCACAGTGCAGTCAGTTACTGAAAAAACTTGGATTTTTTTATTCTACTTACACCAGCATGCATTTGCTGACATGCATCTGCTGGCAGTTTGGGTTTGCCGGTGCTGGAGACTCAGACAGGTGAGTGATAGCTGGATTTTCCTTGTTTACTGTTGGATCTGATAGGTGATGGTGGCTTTACAAGGGTGGGTGTGGAGTTTCCTTGGCATAGTAGAGTGATCTTTTGCAGGACTGGTTCTATAGTTATTCTGATCAGGGATACAGATAGGGGGAAAGGAATTATAATGACAGAAGTGTCATAAGCATGCTACATTTAAACGTTCTGTCCTCATGTGTTTGCAAGCTCAGAAAAAGTACTGAATCATTGCAGAGGAAATGACCTACACCATTTTACCTCCAGGGTAATGCATGTGTTTGGGTGCACCCATATTTGTCATACAAATGTAAACACACCAGCATCCCTCCTTACACAGAGCCCTTCCTTCCTCTTACCATCCCAATGTGCCGAAGCTGTTACATAACCAATGTGGACCTCACCACGGAGATAAATGAGAAAAAAAAACATCAAGGATTTTGTTTTCGAAAAACTTCTTGGCAAGAATTGCATTGCTGCTTTGTTTTTTACCATGTTAGTGCAGAATTCTGTACTGAAGAACATAGAGCTGTTTGTATCAGCATAAATTTATATTTAGAATATCATCATGAATATCATGTTGATAAGATTAACAAAAGTAATCCATTATTATTATAACAGGATAAAAAGTGTTATGGTAATATGAGCTCTACTTAATGCAAAACCATTAATGTAAAATAAAAATATCCCCACTGTTTAAACTTACTGACATGATACTTATAAACTTCATAGATGCTACTGATATTTTAAATGACAGACAGGCAAAGATATAGATAGGACAGATATGTAGGACATAATACCAATGCATTCAGCTATGCAACTTTAATTTATGAATTTTGTTGCAAATAAAGATGCACATTTTGGGGGAGTGCGTTTCTCACAGCTTTGCATACGTTGAGATTAAATGTACATTTTCATTTTGTCTAACACTTTAAACTTTGTCAGATCAAATTTACAGTATCCAAGCCTACTTCTATTAGGAGACTACTGCCTTGGTTTTATTTAACTTAGCTCAAAAATATTGACAACTTTGTGAAGCTTTGTTTGCACAGGCTGTCATTTCTAAGTAGGATAGAGTAATGTCGGTTTTGCTGTGAAGCAAACATGAATTGGGCCTTAAGAATTGTCTAAAATTGAAACACCCAATCAGATAATGTTTGCTATATTAATTTGCCTGTTAGTAGGTTCAAGTAGACCCTACCTGAAAAAAAGGTAATGAGTGTACAGGGAAAGTGACAATAAAGTTGATTCTGTGGTAAATTATCATGAGCAAAAATTTTGATTATTCAATTAAACCAATTCTGGAAACTATATCAAACCTAAACAACTAAACTTCAAGCATCTGTTGTGAGATGGAATATTTTTATACTTAATACTTATGAAAAATTAAAATTGTTTATGCAATCATGAAACAATATACAATAAATTCACAATTTCTAGCTATTTTAAATTAATATCAGGTATAATTAAAACTATTATTCAGAAAATGTAGAATGTCATGTTTTCAGAGGTTATGACCGATTAAAAAAAATAAATAAAAAATCGAAAAATAGTTTTTAAGTGTTTGTAGTTTAACCAGATTTACCAAAGATATACCTGCTATTCATACAGAGATGATTGTTGGTCTTGGTTTGTTGTGACAATTCAATAAATTATATTACAATATGGTGACATATAAAAAAAATTATGATTAAAGTTATTGAATAATATTTAATAAATAAGCATATGACATTAGGTTTATTCATTTATTTTAGATGTACTGTAATGTACAATTCTTTTTTTTTTTTTTTTTTTTTGTATTTTGCTATTGCTGGAGAAAGACATGCTGCTAGGAAAGTTTGCCGTGTTTCTCTCTGAATCAGAATCTTTCTTCTTGCAATTTGAAGTAGCTGACAGGGTTTTCAAAAATGAAACCAGTTCTTATTGGTAAAAACTCTTTATGCAGTTGTGCATCTGCATGTTTTAACTTCTTTATCGGTTTTCTGCTCCACAGTTTAAGAGGATGCTGAACCGTGAGCTGACACAGCTATCAGAGACCAGCCGCTCAGGGAACCAGGTGTCAGAGTACATTGCCAGCACTTTTCTAGGTGAGTTTTGACATAATGAAAAAAGTGGGCTCTGCAGAGACTGATCTAAAAAATAGTTGTGTAGTGTCACAGAGGTGTTTTATTTCTCTTAAGTGCAGGTAGAAAACTATAAATACCCGTGATAAAATATTTGTAAATCTCTGTAAGAGCAGAATGGGAAATTTTATTGTGCTGAATCTGTTTTGCTGCTCTTCTTTAAGATAAACGTAACTGCATACATTTAGCTGAATTTGTATTGTTAGTAAAAAAAGAAACTAATAAATAAATTAGATTAACAATTTAACAATTAAATCATAGCGAAACATTTGGTTTTTATTGTTTTACTTGGCATTAAGTGTCTTAGAAGAATTTTTACGTAAATCTCCTTTATATCACAACTTTCACTGATAAAAATATGGAAAATGAATGTATACAGATCAATCATATAAGTAAAAACATGGTTAAAAAGAACATAATAACATTTAATTATATATATATTTGTGAAAAAAAAGTATTGTATTTTGAAGATCTTAATGCTCACAATGTTTAATAATCTCCTATGTCACATTAATTGCATAATTTTTTTGCAAACCTAACAAGGCATGGCATTCAATCCATTGGACAGCATTCAATAGAAAAACAGCCAGAAGGTCAATAGTTACTCTGGAGGAGCTGCAGAAATTCACCGTCCATATAAAGAAAGAGAAAAGCAACAGTTAAAATAATTCCAAAGAGTGTTTGGTTTATAGAAGCCATTAGCCATGTAGAAAGAAAAAATACTCTTGTTAAAAGAGATAGAATGAGTTTTTCGGCTTACAAAAAATGTTGTTTAACACAATCATCACAATAAACATGTTAAAGCAGAACAGGGTTAAGACTGTAATGAAAATCATCTTGTAAAAACGACCCTAAAATGAAATTATTTATATAAAAGTACGATTATAAGTAGTCATCACCTAAGTGCCTTAAATCCACTCTAAGTTTGATCTATTTTGCAAAGGCGGCTGGACAACAATGTCAGTCTCTAAAACAGTTGAAAGAAACACCTCAAAAGACTAGCAATTTAGCTGCAGAAAAAGGTTGATCCACATAAAAAGGCTACACTTTTACATATATTTTGTTTAAAGAAGGTAAAAGGTGGAGAAATTACACTGGTATGTTTTTGGAAAACATAAGTTATAGACTGCTCAAAGATGAAGGTGTAAACAGCACAATATAATCAAAATCAATTCAAACTTCTGTGAAATCAAACTGTCCTCCTAGGAAGCAAACTGAATGTCAATCAACTTCACATGCTGTTTTGCAAATGGAATAGACAACAGGTGGAACTTAGTGGTAACTAACAAGACACAGCCAATAAAGGAAATAGTCTGCAGGTGGGTATCACAGACTACTTCTCAGTACCTACAGTATGTTTTGGGGCTGATGTTTTTGTCATTTGTGATTGTTGGTGGTGCATGAGGTGGACTAGTAGAGCAGCTAATCCAAGATGGATAATTAAAGTGAGATGTGGCAAGAAGGTTTGCTGTGTCTGTCAGCATAGTATCCAGAGGCTGGAGCGCTACCAGGAGACAGCTGTAGGAGGGCAACAACTCAGCAGCAGGGGTGCAAGGAGGAACAGAAGGAGCACTCCCAGGGCCCTGCAAAATGACCACCAATGGCCACAAATGTGCATGTGTCTGTTCAAACGGTTAGAGGCTGACTCCACGAGAATGGTATGAGGGCCCGATGCCCACGGAGTACATGTGACAGTGATTGGAGAGACAGTGGATGGTGATTTTCTGCCTGCTAAAAGCATGACCGGTTTGACAGTGGGTCAGTAATGGTGAGAGGTGGTATCTCTTTAGAGGGCAGCACACAGCCCTCCATGTTCTTGCCAGAGGTAGCATGACAGCCATTGGGTACCGACAGTAGATTCTTAGACCCCTTGTGGCCCCTGTGTTCCTCCTAATTCACAACAATACTAGACCTTGTGGGACTGGAGTGTGTTGGCGATGCCTTCAAGATTTGCTTATAGCTTCAAGTCAATGAAGCTATGGACTGGCCCATCCATTCCCCAGACCTGAATCGATTGAGAACATTTGGGAAATCCAGTCTCGATCCATCCACCAACGTCACGCTGCACCACAGACTGTCCAGGAGTTGATGGATGCTTTAGTCCAGGTCTGGGAGCAAATTCCTCAGGAGACCTTTCTCCACCTCATCAGGAGCATGCCCAGACAGTGTAGGTAGGTCATACCAACACATGGAGGCCACACACAATACTGAATCACATTTTGGCCTAATTTAAGGATATTACATTAACGTTGGATCAGCCTGTAGTGTTTTTCACTATAACTTTGTGTGTGACTCCAATTCTAGGCCTGCATTAGATAATACATTTTATTCCCATTGATTATTTTTGTGTGATTTTGTTGTCAGCACCTTCAATCTTGTACAGAACAAATTATTCAATAAGAATATTTAACTCATTCAGATGCAGGATGGGTTATTTGAGTGTTCCCTTTATTTTTTAAGCAGGGAACAGGATAGGATTTAAAAGCTAAAAATGTGTCACACGAAAAAAGAAAAAATCTTACAGTAAAAAGAAAATTTAATTAAAATTCAAAAAAATCTAAAAAAGGACAAAAATACACAATTATGGAATTTATATTTCTCTATTTTACAGCAGGGAAAGGAGAATATATGGGGACGCAGATAATGAGAAAAGGAAAAGCTGAAATAAGGAACGATAGTCATTTCTAACTGAAGCAATGAAAAGAGCATTTTTCTGGAGGAGAGAACAGACTGGGAAGGTGAGGATTTCTTCGTCTCTGAAGCAGGAGGAGGTGGGGCAACAGACAGCATTCCCGGACACATTGTGTGGCGTTGTCGTGGCAACTAGGTTGAGTATTATCCGACGGCGTGTTGCATCAATAGGAGGCTCAGTCTTCGGCAGCCCCTCTGGCAGGATGGTCCAGCAGAATGAGGATGGAGCCGTCAGTCAGGCTCTGTTCTGAGATGAATGCCTCAAGCTTGGCTGCATTTGGAGATGAACCCCATGGCTCTGGGTCTGAGGAAGAGGAGGCACTGTGATAGAGGTGAGAGAGGCCAGACGGTGCCTCCTGCGAAGATGTTGTTAGGATCGTTGATTCGTCTGAACGGTGGCGTGTGCTTGTATCAAGGCTCAGATCTGGATGTTGATCAGGCAGTCGCTGCTGCCAGGCTAATGAAGCCAATCATGGCTGGAGGATGCGAAGGATGATATGTAAACGTGAGGTAAAGAAGTCAAAGTAGGATGACTTAGCGAATTAGCGACATGGTCCTTACACATCATAAAAAACAGGACATGTAGCATCTTCTCTAGGATTTTTACTCTGTTGAAATGGCTGTTTTATTATAAATCTCTTGTGGGAGCATTGCCAGTTGTTCACAAGGTCCTTGTTCTATGTTATTTTGAAATCATACTAAAAAGCATACCCATCTTTATTTTTTTAAAATGCAGTATTTCTGCAATACTAAAAATTTGAATACGAATTTTGTGAACAACTTCCTATCTGTTTCTTTTTAGCTTTGTAATATAGATTTTTATTTATCTGCTAAAAAAAAAAAAAAAAGAAGCTATATAAGATTTAGGAGCATTCCTAAAAAAAATTGTTTTAGCCTACATCCTTTTAGCAGCAAGACATTTAAATTAAGAGCGGATGTGATGCATTGGCATGTTTTACAATACAGACACTAAAAAATATAGTTTTACAGTTTCAAAAAGTTTAAAGCAATTTTAGACGTCTTCTAGCTTATTTTTAGCATCTTCTAACAGTAAGTAGCATGGCTAGCAGATATATACATACCCGAAGCCTTCCAACATCCAACATGTTACACGACTGAATTCAGCTCAAATGAACAAAACAGCAACTTTGCTGTACATATTTCAACTTTCCTTTATTCATCTAAAGGCCTTGATCCCTTGCAGTCTTAATAAACAATGCTGTTTCCGTTGAAATGTCTCCATGTATCTCTGTACTTCCTCTGGTCTCTTTTGAATATTTCACTGACCATGAAAACATCTGCTGTTCAGTTTTTTTTCCTTCTGTGACAGCATCCGAACCTAGGAGGAGTGTAGTTGCCTCAATGTTAATAGTAACAGTCACACATGGTGTGTTTACTGTTAAAAAAAGGTCAGATTCTTGAGTTTCTGACCACCCTCTCACCTATTAGGACTGATCACCATAGTATTTAACTACAATACAAAATAAATAAAACGAGTTTAGATGTATATAACCAAGTTTAAAATTATTTTATGCCTAAAATTAATCTCGCTTCTACTTGCTTTCTGTTATATTTTTGTTATCTTTCCTTCTTAGATGCTTTGAGCTCCTGCTCATCTTTGAGCCTTGATGAGTGGGCTTTTTCGGCTGCACAGCACAAACATTTATGCTGTTTCCATACTAGAATAAATCATCTGAACTTACATGAATGGGTCCTCTTTGGTCTCTGAGGTTTTCAACCAAAAGATTCATGTTTGGTTAGTTTAAAATGCTCAGTTGCCTTTATGTATGTCTGGTTATTGAATCACCCATCTTCACTTTCAATAAAGCTTTGACTTGCTTAGTTTGTTTTTACTTGGGTTTATTTTAAGAATTACAACCAAACAAATATTTGTATGTAATATATTATTTCGTTTTTCACCTAAATTACTTCTACTTCTTGTTTTGAACTAGTTTTACAATGTTATATAAGCAACTTGCTTTGTTAATGTCATTAGCACGGGTAACATTGCTCAAATAGCTTCCTGTATGCAAAATATAAAAAGTAGATCTTTACCTTATTATTCTAAAAAAGCTGATATATCAAGCAAGTTCCACTATAGAGATAGGCCTGAAATTCAAAGGCTGCTGTCCTGTTATCCCGTGAAAGACATATCTCTACATGTTGATAAGTTGATCAGTTTTGAAAAGCTTTTTGGTCTCATGGGTTTAGAAAATAACTGGCTTTGAGTCCTCTTCCCTCTGTGACATCTACACTGAAGAGAATTGCTGTGGTCGCAACCTGATGAAGCTTCTGTTTTGAGTATTGCCTCATTATGACTGTCAACAAAGATAAAGGCCATGTGAAATAACAGTAGTGTTGCACCGATACCAGTATCGGGCAGGGACCTGATACTGCACTAAAATGGTGGTATCAGTATCGGCAAGTACCACCAAATAGGGCAGCAATACCATATTGAGAGCTAAAAGTTTATTTAACTTATTGTCACCCATTCCAGGTAGCCAATAAAACGATCTACTGGTTTCATTTTGTATTATTCTGCTTTAAAAAGGAAGGCAGCAGCTTGACAAAGCCATGATGGCAATTACTTTACATCCAAGTAGTATGCAGTTCTTCATATATACACCCACACACATCAATTTCAAACAGATAGTATCAGTATTGTATCGGTATCCGCCAATACTGCACAGCCAGGTATCGGGTATTGGCATCAAGGTCAAAAAATGGCATCAGTGCAACACTAAATAACAGTAGAATGAATTAAATGTTAAGATGACATCGCAGAGAAGGCTGGATGATGAATTAAATAATAAAGGTGTCTGATTTGCTGAAGCTATGGAAAACTAACGTCACGCCCACATTACTGCATGTCAAAAGTTTAAGTGGGCTAATATCAGTATACATATCACAGGTCCCTTACATGGACAACTTGATTTTTATCTACGTTATTTTTTATCAAAGCGTTGGTGAATATCTTTCATTTTGTCTTCGAAACATTAGAACCGATGGATTAAAAAAACAGCTCCCTTTTTAACTTTGGGTCTGTTTTGTTTTCGGGGGGTTTTCACATGCAGAGAAGCAACATGACTTGGAGATCCCGTCTCCGCCTGCTAAGGAGAAAGAGAAGAAGAAAAGGCCGATGTCACAGATTAGTGGTGTGAAAAAGGCCACACAAAGCCCAAGTTTAGCCCCTGCCATCATCCCTCGCTTTGGAGTCAACACACCACACGAGAGCATGCTGGCAAAGGTGGGATCGCACACACTTAAATGCAAAAAGAAATAAGAAATGTTATTTACACATCATTGGTTTTGTTCTTCACAGGAAATTGAGGACCTTAATCGCTGGGGTATGGATATTTTCAAACTAGCAGAATATTCTGGAAATCGCCCTCTGACGGTGACCATGTACTCCATCTTCCAGGTAACATAATTCCTGTGTAAAAACTAAATGGAGTCCTTTGGCAAAGTTTAAATAAGAAACAGACTGCAAAGAAATAGGGTTGTCACGATACTAAACTTTTCAACTCGATACCGATACTAAGGAAAATACTCGATACCATTTTCGATACCACAAGGATAAAAACAAAGACTCCAAAATTCTACAGAAATATTTTCATTAATAACTAAAATACAATAAATAAATACAATAAACAATAAGAACAATATTTTGAGGTTGTTTGCTGTGCACAATATTAAGCAAGCTTGATAAAAAACTTATAAAATTAAAATTAAGTGTTCCTTCCTTGGCTATGCTTTGCACACATAACAATGACACTAGCCAAACTGGTTAAGAAACAAAGCACTGTAGCACTGTATCGATACTTTTAAAAACGAGTATTGTATCCGGATACAACATTTTGGTATCGATACTTTTTTGAGTCTCGATACTTTTGACAACCCTACAAAAAAATAAGATCTGCCCCATCTGTAGATCTTAAATAAATGAACAGAAAAAAGAATCTGCAGGTGGTTGATGTTTTATTTGTTGTCCCTCATTTGACAGGAGCGAGATCTTCTGAAAACCTTCAAGGTGCCAAATGACACCTTTCTCACCTTCATGATGACTTTAGAGGACCACTACCATGCAGACGTAGCTTATCACAACAACATCCATGCAGCTGATGTGGTGCAATCCACCCATGTCCTCCTGTCAACTCCAGCTTTAGAGGTTCGTATTCTCACTGTTTTTACTCAGATTACATTTTTTAGCTTGAATTAAGGTTTAAGTGATGCTGTTTTGTTGTCTTTCTTTATCCAAGGCGGTGTTTACAGACCTAGAAATCATGGCTGCTCTTTTTGCAAGTGCCATCCATGATGTCGACCATCCTGGTGTCACCAACCAGTTCCTCATAAACACCAGTATGTTTCCTTTTGTTTCGGCATTCAGCTGAGAGAGAACTGTTTATTGATGGCTACATTAAAAAAAAAGAACAGAACCAGACGACTGCAAATGCAAAAAAAAATTAGATTAAATAGAAAGTTTATAATGTATGTAGTGCAACCTAGTTATTGTGACCAGAATATGTGTGGGTGACTGAATTTGTTTACTCTTTTAAAAACTACAAACTAATTAAAACCAAAGTACATCAGCTTTGATCTTTATAGAGTCATGTTTGAATTAGGATTTTTTTGCATAGTGACCTGGTCTCTTTCTTTATTTTAGGTTCTGAGTTGGCACTAATGTACAACGATTCATCTGTGCTGGAGAACCACCACCTCGCTGTTGGCTTCAAGCTACTGCAAGAAGAAAACTGTGATATCTTCCAGAATCTGAGCAAGAAACAGAAAGACTCCCTCAGAAAGATGGTGATTGACATGGTAAGGCTGGGACCTTTGTTCCTGCAAACTCTGGATAAGAAGATATGGAATTTCATAAAGATTGTCCAGATGTGAATACGTATGGCATAAAAGAAAGAATAGGGTTTAACTAGGTTTATTTCTAGACTTTATTTTATTGTCTAAATGTACCAATCTGTCTCTCTTTCTGAAGCATGACATGTACAGAAATGGCATTAGTAAATAGATAATAAGCATTTGTTTTGATTATCAAAAATAGGGACATTTTGCTTAAAACAACTCTAGGAAAGTGAAATTTTTTGCAGAAAAAAGGAAAAACTTAAATCAATTTTAAACATTTTACTACAGTTTTATATTGCACTTAGAAAGTCTAATATATATTTATATTGGGAAAATAGAAATGCACCAGAAAATCATCAATATTAATATATATACATTATAATACATCTTTCCCAGCTTCAAGCCAAACATAGGTATATTTGTACTGTTCAGTCTTTTTCTGTAAGTGCTGCATGCTGATTTGGTAACTTCCAGGGGCATTAAGTGTTATGTTCCCTGCTGCTAACAAACTCTGTAGACTTGAGAAATATCTACAGCTTAGAAAATAGACAAACTGACTGCATCCAAATAAATGAATTGCCACAAACTTCATGCACCTCTTAAATGATCTCTGTATACTGTTTTTTAAAACAAACTTTCCCTTTATTTTTGATTAAACTACAGAATATCCCCACTTTGAAACAATAAATGACTGTTCTATTCTACTGAAGTTATTTCAAATTAAAATGTCAAATATAAAGATATTAAGCTTAAACTGCAACATTAAAGCTAAAAGAGCACTGTTGAGGGATTGAGGAACATGACCAGATTTCATTTAGAGGTGTTAAGGATGGTTTCAGTGGTACAGATGCTGTCTTGCTGTGTTTAGGTGCTGGCCACAGATATGTCCAAACACATGAACTTCTTGGCAGACATGAAGACGATGGTGGAGACCAAGAAAGTGACGAGTTTGGGAGTCCTGCTGCTAGACAATTACTCTGACCGAATCCAGGTAAATGAAGTGCCACAAACTCATGTTATCATCAAACTAATGTTATTTGGGATACTTCAGAATGGAAATCTGCTCTTTTATTAATGCAAAAAAGCGTTTATGCTTTTCAAACATTTTATTGCAAAGACATCTGCAGTTCACACAGATTAAACTTTCTGCTGTAGGTTTTTCTGGAATTTGGGGTTCCATCAAGTACAGCAGTAATGAAGATAGAGATGTGTAATCAAGGTTATTATCATTAGCTAAAACTAATGAAATGACGAAAAACTACAGTAAAAAATATTGTTAACTGAAATAAAGATAAAAGTAAATAAAAAAATTAAAACATAACTAAAACTGAGTGTAAAAACTGATAAAACTAACTGATTTTAAGGGAGAATGTGCTCATTTTTGTTTGTGTCTTTAAATGAATTAATCTGAGGTCTAGTTTCCTGTTGATTTTTCAAGTTTTTTGACTATACCACATTACAACAGCAGATGGCAGTCAGCTCCTGTGTGTTTAATGGTCTGTCCTTATCTGGGATTTTATTTCCTTTTATTGTTTTTGACTTATTTTGTCTTGCCCCTGGTATTTAACTCTTATTACCTAAAATAATATAACTATAGCTGAAACTATTAAACACTAAACTTAAACTAAGCATTTTCAAAAACCTAAAACTTGATTAAAAACTAGCTAATAAATGCTAAAAAAAATTTAAATTAAATAAACAATATGTTGTCAAGAGTAAATACTTTTTAAACCTTGTATGAAATGCTGTTAGTTTAACAGCAGATGCAGCTTGTACTCTTGCTTTGCAAATCGTTCTGTTATTTTCTGAGTCAATGAAAATTTGCCGCATCAACGAAAGGTTCTTCTGTTGTTTTTATGGCAGTGCTTTAGCTTTGGCACTTTACCACAAATGCTGTTATGTTCAGTCTGTTTTTCTTATTGTACAAACATGAACTGTGACATGCAGGTCCTTAGATGTTCTGGGTCCTTTTGTGATCACCTGGATGAGTAATTGATGCCCTCTTGTAGTACTTTTGGTAGGGCCATTCCTGGGAAGGTAAAGCACTGATCCGTTTCTTGTCAGTGTAATGAATGTCATGGTGGTTCACTTGAGCCCCAAACAACTGCTTTGTAACACTTTTCAGACCTTGTTTTTCTATAACGATGTGGATAACTATAACAGGGGGATGTATAGATGCAGGTTATTCTTGTCTGCCATTAATCTTTCTTTCTCAAGCATTGGAGGAATGAGGATGAAAGAACTAAATAATTGTGAGGGGTCAAATTGTTTTTGCAGGTTCTACAGAACATGGTCCACTGTGCTGACTTAAGCAACCCAACCAAACCACTGGAGCTCTACCGAAAATGGACAGACCGCATCATGGTGGAGTTTTTCACCCAGGGGGACAGAGAGCGGGACAAGGGGATGGAGATCAGCCCCATGTGCGACAAACACAATGCCTCCATAGAAAAGAGCCAAGTAAGGCACTCTGATTACATTTTGTAGAAAAGTTTAAGGAGTTTAAATATTTTCATGGGATTCTACTCTGTAATATTCACTAGTTTTATCACATTGATGTTGGTTTCTATTTGATAATTTTGTACTTTCTTACCTAGGTGGGATTCATTGACTACATCGTGCATCCTCTGTGGGAGACCTGGGCAGATCTGGTACACCCTGACGCCCAGGATATTTTGGACACGCTTGAGGATAACAGGGAGTGGTATCAGAGCATGATCCCCCGCAGCCCCTCGCCAACGAGCCCGGACGAGCACCACGCTGAGGTGGGACCGGCAGATGGGACTCCAGGAGGAGCAGGAGGAGCTATCCCATCAGGAGGAGACAAATTCCAGTTTGAACTCACACTGGAGGAAGAAGAGGATGAGGAGGAAGTGGAGTCTGACCTCGAGAGCCCCTTAGAGGAGGAGTCTCTGACAAGGCGACACGATTCCTCCTCGCCTTCCCTGCCTCCAGACCCCCGCAGTGGCAACAACAGCAGATACCGCCCTCCCTCACCTCACCCATCTCGGACCTTGAATCTGGCCTCCATGTCTGTGCGAAGCCCCCACCCTCACAGGACACAGGCCTCCCCGGGGCCGGAAGGTTCGGACAGGAACGGAGAGCTGAGTCAGGAGGGCGATGGAGTGGCCTGCCTGCGGATGGGAACGTAATGACCAGCACCAGCCGCCCTGCTGAAGAGACATGAGTGCTGGATGTGTAGGCAGGGCGAGCCTTTGCCAACAATGTCTGTAAAATCACCACAGTCCCTTTACACTGGAGACACCCTCTCTAGAGAGCAGAGGAACGATTCTCCTCTGCATTTTTTTCTTTTTCAGCAAAATGAAATGTTTTCTCCTCTGTCTGAGTGCCTGATAGGCCTTCCTGTTTCACAGCAGCCTCAGTTTGGAGCATTCCTGATGAAAAAAGTGCTGCATTTAAGCTTGGAAGAGAGGAATTAAGGCTTGTACTCACAAAAGGTAACAAAACCTAAAAGGAAATGTCTTCCTCCAAATAACTGTGACATCCGAACAGCGAATGAGGACTACCGTGGCGTGACAGGGTCTTGGAAATTATTTTGCACCATTGTTTTTAATTTAGAATCTAGGATTATTGAGTTGGGATAAGTGAGTATGATTTATTTCTTTAAGGATGACGTGTGAAATGAGTCATTTAACCAAATATGGGATGTAGATGAGAAAATCGACGGACCTAAACCTCAGGGTATGAAGTGAAGCATAAACCTAATGTAGCACAGGTGTACTGATCCCCGACCCCAAACTGTCTGTCCTGTTCGTCTCAGTGAAAAAATGAGACATTGTCCAACATGTGTGTCTTTACATTTATTTAAATCCCTTTAATAGAGAATTTGGCAGATGAGGCAATCAGATACTCAAACCAGCTTGTAGCACCATAGGAACCGAACACTTTGGGCTGAACCTTAGTCTTGCCTGTTGAAAAGACACCAATGTATACTTAGTTTGAGCTTTATCTATGTTTTACCTTATATTTTAGATTGTTTATGTTTTAATTTCTGTAATATTCCTTGTCGTGTGTTTGCTGGTCTCATATGTGTTTCTGTGCTTAAAAAAGCATTTTTTTAATCAGGGTGCCTCCGGTCCGCAGTAGCACTTTACCGTCTTTAGAGTTCAGCTCTTGTATTTAGTCACACAAAGGGCTTCACCCACTGTAGGCCTACTGATCACAAACAAACCTGTACAGGACATGAAACTACAGCTACCAGAAGGCAGGGCAGGCCCTAAAATTCAGTGTTTTGGATGAGCATGAAATATTGCAGCTCTGCAGCAGCTTCTACTGTAAAGCCACAGGTTGGAGGCTTCTTCTGTTTTCAATACCTAATGAGGATTATTGGATTCTGGCAATAAAATTGATATCAAAGCAATGTCAAAATTAACTAATTTAATATGCTCTAAATCAGAGTATTTACAAAGAGCACAGTAGCCACTGACACCACTGTATAGAGGGTTACTACACAGATTATATTTTATAAATTTAGTGTTTCAAGGAATGACAGTTTACCAACTGAATACAGTTGCAGATAATATGAATATTAGCTGCTCATAGATTTGAAAAACATTTCTGAAAATTATGGAGCATAAAACCTTATTCTGTCTTTGTCTGTATTCAGAAGTTTACTTTTCTAATTTCACCAACAGAAACAACATAAACATTTCTGAATATGATATTTTGAAAGAAAATATCAAAAAATTTGTACCCAATATGGCGACAGTGAAGTTTATTTCCCATTTAACCAGAACTACACAAAGTGTTTTACAACCTCTATTTGCAAAACATCTCCCTTAAGGATGCATTAATTGATCGTTACTAACATGTTAATAGCTAGCAAAGCATCCAGCTATAAGGTTTGGAGAGAACCTTTAAGAGAAACAATAAATCTACACCAACAGAAACGTTTTTCCTCCTCCTCCTATTATTATCTGAGAGCTGCAACGTACAAAAGCTGTCCAGCTGATGCAAATGCTCATAAAAGCAGCATGCTATTTGTGGCATTTGTCACGTAATATGTGGCAATTGTTTTACTCCTTAAAAAATGGTGAAGTTAATGCATCATCAATATGAATTTTCTTTACATGCACTAAGAAAGAAAAAAAAATGTATAGTTTAGTTAGAAATATAAGTGTGAGTTGTTCACTGATAAATGAAGACAGCAATATTTATACAACTGTACTTTTTATTCTGTTATTAGTATTCAAATTATATATTTCTAATTGTTGTTTTTTTTTATTCTATTTTATTTATCTAAATTTTTCTCTCTTAAAATGAGATTTGATCACTATCTTGTTTACTAAGTTGTACCAATATGTAATTATCCGTTTTACAGCAGCACAAGGTAAAGAAAACAGTGTAGTTAGTTGAATTATTACTGATATCAGTGTACTTCTCACAATTTTTTTTGTCTCGTGTTTAATTTTCCAGTCAGCTTTAATATAACTGGCATGCAGATGTGAAACAATGACTATCAGAAGCAAAATAGCTTTACTGTATTTGTTCATGCTCCAAATTATTATGTTTAAGGCTGCAGCTCTCAGATAATGCTTTCCCATACAAGCAAAATACAAAAACAGCCTCATTTTTTTGGAGATTCTCCTCACTGTCCAAAGTTAAAATCCTTCTCTAACAATCTTGGTGGTTTTCCAACTTGGAACCATAGCACACTCAGCTCAGGTGTGACGTTTGACCTTTGAACTCCAAGACAAATGAAACGCAGAATAATTTCAGGGATAGATAAAGGAAAATAGACATTCCAATGCTTTTGTCAAAGAGTCAAAAAAATAAAAATAAAACTTTGCTCAAACCAAATGATTAATAGATAAGTTCATGTAACTATAGTGAAGGAGCTCTTTTGAGACCCAGATGGATTGGCAATAAAAAAAAAAAGTCAGACTTCAGTTGGAAAAAAGTCTTCTTCTTTAGCAAATAAGTGGAATAAATAAAATTAAGTTTCTGTGTCTGTTTTTTCCAAGAGAAATTACCAGGTTTCTTATTAAACATTCCCTGGCATCACCTTTTCACCAAGCCACATGTCAAACATCAGCCACAGGTTAAAGTTATTCCCATTTTCCCAACATAAACAGATAAATACTTTTCACCCTTTGTGTCGAGAGATGCTGCTGTAGAGCTCAATTAAAAAAAGGCTGGGACTTTGTGTAAAATATAAGCAAAACAGAATTTAATAATTTGTAAATGTTATAAACCCATATTTTTTGTGCAAATAAGCTTAGTAGACATACCAGGTGTTTAAATAATGATATTGGGGCATTTTCATAATATAGTGGGATAACCTTTAATTAAATTGCACTAAAAGGTGGGTAGGGTTTATCCCTGAAGCGTCCTCTCTTCCTTTAAGAATTGTGTGTAAATGTCCCGTTCTTCTCTGATACCCTAGGTTGCATGGTTTGCCACCCTCTCAAGTGCCACATATTTTCAGTCAGTTAAAGGTCTGGACTGCAGGTACAGTTCAGCACTCGCACTCATCCACTAATAAGCTTTGTTGTTATGGATGCAGGTGGTTAAACATTGTTATAGTTCTATAGACCTCAGGCATCCAGAATTTGCCAGCTTTGACTTTGGCACACACATTTTCTAATTTTTATCATGATTTGATGATCGATAGATAATGTGATGTTCCATCTTCCTAGTTTCCATTAAGAAACTTTTTTTTGTGGGGGAAATTGTTCCACTATTGTGAAATGTGTTTTTTCACAGACTGGTAAACGTTAAGAGATCCAGACTTCTTACTATACTCAGTACTGTTACTGACCAACGGGGAATTAGTTGCAATGTGCTCCTCCAGCTTCTTATTGTGCCTCAGTTCGAAGGATTTCAAAAGTTTTCTAATTTCCTGGTTTAAACGGTTGTTTGAAAACTTTCTGGGAATGTTGGCAAATCTGACAGAATTTCAATAAGTAGTTAATTTTTTATTCATTCGTTTATAAAAGTTGATCTTTCTAAAAGTCAGATTTCATATACCGGTAGATTGATTAAATACATATAGTTATACTACTGGTATTTATTTCTCTTAAGTTTGTATGTATTGTTATATGTTAAAAACAAAACCAAAATTCCGCTTTTAAAAAATACAATATTATGTCAGAACAATAATGAGTTTTAATATAAAGAAAAACTGTATTGTTAGACAATCAAAGGTTATAACTGAACAATCTGGTTGTTTAAAGAGTGCCATATTCAAGTGTTAGAGCATGGAAAACGGAGAAAAGAATTGGAATTACCTGGAATAAACGCTTGGAATATGTTCCTCTGTCTTTATGTGCTGTAATTCAATAATATAATAGGTTCTATTGATAATTAAACTATTAAAAGAGATCAAAATATTGATATTTCATCTTAAGATGCACCTTTAAAATATGGGTTTATGTTTGTAATAAAATCAGTGAAATCTGTGTTCGTTAACATTTTAAACAGAGTCCCAAATGTTTTTGGTTGTTTCCCATCAGGCTCTAACCTGCCTGACTAGGAAGTTGGTTTTGCCACAAGTTTTGAAAACTCACAAAACCCCTGCCAGCCTACAAAGCTGTACATTTTTACACTAGAGATTTTAAACAGATGATTGTATCAAAGTCATTAACTTTATAAGTGTTAGTTTTTACAAACATGTTAACAGTATTTAAAGGCGTTTTCATAGGTTTTTGTGCAGCATAGAGAACAGCCCTCTGCTAACCCCGATAGCTGAGAATGTTTGTGGTTTCAGGCGTTTCATGACTTTCATCTCTTTCTGTACCAAGTAGGCATCAAGTCTAGAGCCGGTAGAGACACCAGGCGGTTAGCTAGCACTACAAAAGATACTTTGCTTCCTGGTTAGGCAGTTGTAGGAAACACTAGTCTAACAGTATTTCAATTTTTAGGTAGTAAGCTTTATCAATCAGCATTACATGACTGAGCCTTGTGTTAAAGACCCTTTGTGCTGTTTTCTTTTTGCTGGATGCTGACCCTCAGACATTTACACAGGATTTCAACTATAAGAATGTTTGACATGAAGGAAGCACGAGAATCGCCCAGCGTTTTGTTGACTGCTACGACAAACTTCAAAAATTGTGGGATTTTTCCATCTCTTCCTTAAGTTTCCTTCCATCCCTATCTGTGCAAAAATTACCAATGACAAGAAAGACGTCCCAAAAAGCAAAGCATTAGATTTATAGGTTCGTCAGCATTATCCTACTAAAACCGTAACTCCAACCAAGGACAACAGTTGTTCAGTGGCTCCATGTGCTACGGACACAAATACTTGTCTGATGAACTTTTTAAAAATGATTCCCTGGTGTCATTCTCATCATGCATTCTTCTAAACTTGTATTTTTAGACCCGCCCTTCCAAGTCTGAGGTGTCAGGTCATCTAGTTGAATTCAGCACCATGGTTTAACACAGGGTGGACAACAGCGCCACTCAGTGTTAGGTGTGTTAGATGGCAGGGAAATCCCTGCCTTCGGTTTCAATGCTGATACTGCCTTCATACATGTTCATGCAGTCTTTCAGTCTCTGTGTTGTGCAAATGTCTAAAGATATTTATTCTTTAAATGTGTCAAAAGTACTGTAAGAACTGATTTTATGTTCCGGAGCCTAAAAACAAGTATGCTTTACTTGTATGAACTCGTCTGCCACTCCAATGTTTGTTTTTGTCAAAGAAATGAACTATTTTTATTTTGCATTTGAAGCCAAAAGATTCTCGGAAGTTCAGGGTGTTGTGAAAAATGCCAATAAATGATATGGAAATTTATAAACATTCTTGAACACAATTTTTTCCTTAAAGGATGTAGAATAATATTTTTTTTACAAGGGAAATTCAGCTACACAAGGGTTAAAAAAAAAAAAAAAAACAGGGCAAAGTGATATCGCAGGGGGTCATCATGCGACCCATTAGTACCATGTCAAGAGTCAGTCCCCCAGGTTTTCAAGGTTTCAGTACAGCTGATTGCAGTTCAGCAAAAGCCTTTTAATTGGCTATCCAGGAGGGGGGAAACTATGGAGGATTTTTCTGCCAAAACTCTCATATACTCCCTTGTTTCTGCTCTCAAATCTAATGCTTCTTGCACAGATATTTTCTCTTCTTTGCTTTCCTTGCACACAAACCAGTCTCTGCTCAGGTCAGAGGCTCTTACACCTGCTGGCTTTGCTTGTGGATTTTTTCTGCTCTCAGAACAGAGTCGGATCATCTTCTCAAGCATTCCAGCCAATAGAACAGCCTCAAAGGGTTTGCTTGTTTTTTCCTGTTACTTTTCAATATCAGGGTTTCCACAGATTAAAAAAAATAATGACTTCATTGGCATTTAAAATTCATTAAATGTGATTGTGGCATTTGAAGAATTTCTAAAAAAAAAAAGTTTATAACAGTTTAGTCAGCTATAATCAGATTTAACTGGCTCTGCCTGTTTGTGTGGAACCGCTTCTGGTTGATCATAAAGCCAGATGTTTGGAAAGGAAGCTCGAGGCAAAAGTGATAACGAGGAATTTCAGGACAGGGATGCAGCCTGTCAGGGTAAAGATGAAGGATTTTGCCGTTATAACAGTCATGGGTACTTGATGGCATTAAAATTTCTAATCACTAAATTAGAGTTACTCATTCCTGTACAAACCCTGAATATAAGTTGAGCTAAAATCACATTTAGGACAATTGAAAAATAAGGGGGATTCAAAAAAAAAAAATAAAAATTTTGCTTTTTCGCAGACTTACAGTACTTGGAAGTGCAACTTTTGTGTTCACCTCAGGCTTATAGATTGACCCAGATTCTAGACCATCATCATGGCTTAAAAAAAAAAAAATAAAAATAAAAAAATAAAGAAATTCTGTGTAGCTAAAAGCACGCATTCTAAACTTCTTTACAGCAAGTCAGACTAGGGCATTTGGTTATGATTTTATTGTTTAGTCATTTAAGGAACAAATGACAATTCTTTTATTCCATCAAGCAGCCACTTTTGCTCAGTTTGACTGGGGCTCCGGTGCAGGCAGGAGGCTTCACTCCCTGTGGATGGTCAGAGAGTTGGGGGAAAAATTAGGAAGTTACAGGACTGAGGTTCTTGCCAGCCAGTGTGATTCACCAACACCCCACCACATTTGTCAGTTTTACAGATGCCAGAGTGAAACTTGCCTTGTAGAGCTCACAGACCAAATGAAACAGGGATGATGCCGCCTTGGCTTCGTTCTCTTCGGTGTACTCCTGCAGCACAAAAGTGGCCCATTACCATTTCTTTCTTTGAAGAAAAAAAAGTCAAGACCTTCACTGTGACCATCTAACGCTTAAGGTCTCACCCCATTAAATGTGACCCAAGGAACATGAGTATGGGCTGGATTCAGAGCTCTGGTCATGACAGCATAGTCATGCATCAGCCTGTAACCCAGACGTCCGGTCACACATGCATCAACCGTGGCCCAGGACACAGAGGGAGCATACAGCTGGAGACACTAAAGGAGAGAAAAAAAAAAGTCAGTTTTAAATTTAAATAAACCCACAGAATAAAAGACACTCACTGGCTCTGCAGCATTGAGGACATTTGAAGCAGACTCCATGCAGTGGATTATCTGAAAGGCCAGGGATGTTTCAGTCAAATGGATGATGCAGGCCTGAAGGAGAGAGACATGGTTTTAAGCCTCTGCATAAATCGGCACAAGATACTTTAATTTATTATCAAACCTGAATCATATTTCCTCTGCATTCTGGTTCTCCATGTTGACAAGTGAAGGGACTGTTTGCAGATAGTGTTTCCTGTTGAAAAATAATTTCTTATATTTTAGTTGCACTTTGAAAGCAGCAAGAAAGCTTGCTCCTTTAGGGCGACCATTATGCACATTTTGGATTAATTCCTGCTCCATGACAAACCAACTTCTCCTGAAGCTATACTCAGTGTCACACAAGCCCACTAATGACCAGTTTAGCCAATTTAGGTAAAGTCAAACATAAAAACCTTTATGACAACACTGGACCTGGAGAACCAGGATTTCCAAAATCCCCTTCAAACATAGTTCATTGCGCTCCAGTTATGTTTGAAGGGTGACAGGTGTACCTTGGCATTGCCGTAAGGAACCAACGTTAGGGACATGATGTCCTGAAGCATTGTCCAGGTGGGGAACAGCTGTTTGGTGATGAAGGATCTGCAATCTGGACAGAGGGTCTCATAGTACAGGGTGAGGGCGACACGAGGAACAGTCTGGTTTGGCTTTATGGCACCGAGCTCCATGCACTGCTTCTGGACCTAAGGAGAAAAAAAAATAAAAATGTGACACACTTTCACCCATCTCTAAAGCTCAGCAAGTTTGGCTTATTTAAGCCAGAGCAGCTCTAGTCACATGAAGAGCCATCAGTCCCCAATTTATGAAGCATGACTTTAATTTGAGCTTAGACCACAAGATACTTCATCACAGCTGTAAACAGGATTATTAGAAGCTAACATTATAGCTTATATTTTTTGGAAAAAAACTGCTGCACATTATAAATCTTTGTATTTGGCATCTAAACACCTAGCTTTGACACATCTCAGCTTAAGTTTACAAAAAGAAATATTTTATTTTCTAATCCTCTGCAGTCTGTACTCACCTTGCATTCAATGGCAATCTCCAGAGATCGACACCATTGAGACGGAGGGTAACGGCAGGCTGGTTTGGGATGAGAGAGCCCAAAACTTCTATGGTCTGTAGAGATGAGGAAAACCGCAGCAAGCAGGAAGATCACCATTGTGATTCTTAGCAGGGGTTGGAAAAAATAAAAAGTTCCACACAGCTCTTCTAAGACAGACGGCCAGAGAAGACTGAGAGACTCCTCCTCTGAAGAGCTGCTTTAATCAACCCCATCATCATCATCAGCTGATGAACACCAGGTGTTCCACATCCATCGTGTGCCTACAAGCTTTCATGTAAATCTTTATACTCTTTAACTGATTTGTACATTACGCTGAGATTAGAATCAAAGTTCCTCTTTGGAAATGTGGTTTTCAAATTAAAGAAAGATCATGCTGAATTTATCTTAAAATTATA